ATCATCAAATATTTTACTGTTATTACTTATTAATTTATGAATAACATAGTATGCGTGAAAAATCTTTACGGTGAAGTATTGAATTGGAGTGAAGTATCTTGATAGTCCTTACGGGTAATTGAATTCAAGAATGATAATGTAAATTTTGTAAAACTTATAAATTTGATTATGGTAATTGAATTATCAAGTGAAACGAGGTATAAGATTTGCACTAATAAAAGTTATCCTGAGTTTCAGCCATTCTCTTTTAGTTACTGAATATAAAGATACTTTATGTTAATTGATATTATTTTTATAATTTGGCGGGATACTGAATTGTTAATATCTCTTCTATATTTATGGCCTAAGGTGTGAGACATTAAAATTTAGCTTTAAGCTTAAAGGTTAGGCATAGTAAGACATGACTCGACCCCCACTAGCATAAGTAGTATAGTTCCTCACTATTTGCATAGATTGAGACAAGTGCGGGCTGTTGTGGTTGGTGTTCTTTGCGTGCAACTTGTCATTAGCGAGGTAAGTGAGACTTTAAGCTTTAGTGATTGCTTTTCAAACCTTCTTTGAAAGTGTGTCTTATCTGTCTTGGTCCATGTATTGGAATAAACATGTGCTAGACAAAATACTAAATATTCTTTTATAATTTATATGTGGTGTGGTATTGGATGTCATGCTTTATTATCGTGAGATAGTTAGTAGGAGCATACATAGTTGTCGTAATATGTAAGGGACATCTCATATGCTACCGTAATATGCAAGGAGCCTTGTACATGTTGTCATAGTATACTTTGAGGCATTACATATGCCGTCATGGACTTGTCAAAACCGATCTCCTACACTGCTGATTATGACAAGCTTTGAGTGTGGATTGAGTTTGAAACATTTAGTGTCTTTTTTTTGAAACATTTGTTCGGATTTGTTGATGATTATATTACAAAATATATTCTTTTGCTTATCGTTATATGCTTGTTGTGTAGTTTATATTTTTCTAACGCTTATTCCAGGAGTATTAAAGTAGCGAGTTGAGGATCTTGTTGGGTTATATTTATATATATTTACTCCATACATGCATGTCAATGCAGATTACATAGGGTGATACTAGTGACTAGTGGTAGCAAATGGGCGGGTTGCGTCAAATGTGGGCGGGTTAAAAATGGGTAATCATTCAACCCGCCCATATTTGATATGGCTAAAAATTGATTGGTTAATAAATGGGTTGGGTAACATAATTGTTTTCCCATATTTTCATGAATAAATAGTACTCTACTTAAAAATTCAATATGGAGAAAATATTTTAGTCTTTCTTTTAGATGAATATGGTTGGAAATGCTTCATTTAGTTTTATTGTATTGTAAAGGGAAAATACACAAGTACCCCCTCAACCTATGCCCGAAGTTCCAGAGACACACTTATACTATACTAAGGTCCTATTACTCCCTGAACTTATTTTGTAAGTAATTTCCTACCCTTTTTCGGTCTGTGTGGCACTAGTTTGAAAAAAAATCAACCAGCGTTGGGTCCACAAGATAGTGTCACGTAGACCGAAAAGAGGTAGAAAATTATTAATAAAATAAGTTCAGGGAGGTAATAGGACCTTAGTATAGTATAAGTGTATCTCTGAGATTTCGGGCATAGGTTAATGGAGTATTTGTGCATTATCCCTATTATAAAAGTAAAAAAAAAACTTTAAAAATATTTCGGGGGGGGGGGGGTTAGGGGCTGGTAGGGGGAGGATGATGGCAGGGGGTCCAGCGTAGGGTGAAAAAATAAATATTTGAAGTTGAAAATATTTTTAAAACAAACTTAAATTAATTATTTTTTGGGGGGGGGGGGGTCGAGGGTAGATGTGAAAAAAATAAAATTTTGAAGTTCAATATATTTTTCAAAAAATAAACTTAAAAAATAATAATTTGAGTGGGTGGGGGGTCGAGGGTTGAAATATTAATAAGGACCGATATATGAAAGTTTTGAAAAATCGCTTCTAAAACATGGCAATAAATGATTTTTTGAAAATTTAGGGGAAAATGCACAAGTACCCCTCAACTTATGCCCGAAATCCCATAGACACAGTTAAACTATACTAACGTCCTATTACCCCCCCCCCCCCCCCCGAACTTATTTTATAAGTAATCTACCCCTTTTCGACCTACGTGGCACTAGATTGAAAAAAAACACAACCAGCGTTGAGCCCACACGATAGTGTCACATAGGCCGAAAAGGGGTAGAAAATTATTAACAAAATAAGTTCAAGGGTTAATAGGACCTTAGTATAGTATAAGTGTGTCTCTGAGATTTCAGGCATAGGTTGAGGGGGTACTTGTGCATTATCCCAAAATTTGGAGAAAACTTGCAATACCCATATATGACCCATAGTTTACCCATAAAATATCCATATTTTAATGGGTAAAATATGAGTATAAGCCCAAATATTACTCGTATTTAAAATCACTCTTTCAGCTCATATTTGATAGGCTATTTGGGCGGGTTAGTGAAAAGTGGGCTTAAATTGCCATCACTACTAGTGACTGACAAGATAGTGGAGGTATTTTAGGGTTTGCATTCACGATCTTACTGGGTTATATTCTATAGCGGATGTGAGCCATCGACCCATCGTATAGTTTATGGAGGCTCTTGTTTCAGTTTATTTATCTATAGCTAGCTTATATCAACTTCTTTTGTTCTTGGGGTTTGCATGCCTAACAGTTGAACTCATGTAACTCTAATAGATGCTATGTGGTCTTATTATGGAATTTGGGCTCAGAAAATATTACTTAAGTGATTGTTTGTTTTTATATAAATTGATATATGATTTTGGTTGGATAATGAATTCATAATTGACGAGTTCTTGAGTTTCACATGTTTTATCTTTGTGCTTAAGTGGGCTGGTAAGAGTAAGTATATTTGGTACTTCCAACAGGTAGTGTTAACTTGTGTTAGTCAGGTCTAAGGGGTATTTCATGAGGTGATAAAGTTGGTATCAAAGCCTAGACTTTAAGTCCAAGGTTATGGAGTTATGTTTGGTAGTGTCTTGTTTATCAATAAGTAGGCGCTTATACTATGACCTTGAGGTTACCAAACATTTAAGATGTTTTCTCTTTTTTATTTCTTGTTCGTGTGTTGAGTTAAATCAATTATAACCTTTGAATATTATATGCAAATGCTAAGAAACGTGGTTCTTCCTCTGTTGTTCGATCTAATGAATGTGGTATAGGTAGAGCTGTCAAAATGGGTTGGCCTAACCTAACCCAACTCAACCCTAACGGGTTAGAGAGTTACCTTTTTGGGTTGGCCACGAGTTAGGACAGGTTGATCCTTCAACCAAAAAAAAGGGACAACATTTCCTCTTATAAAGGATACGAACGTTGAAGTCTGATGAACACGATATCAATACATACATAAATTCATGAATTACACATACTTCAGTGAATATTTACTAAAAAACACATAATAGTCAAGATACGACATTCATATGATTTATCCGAGCAAAAAAACATTACATGATCACTATTTTTATAAACAAGATAATAAAGGAGAAGTGAAAAACTAGGCATAAAATCAAAAGTGAAAGAAGTCAAAGACTCATAGTTATAATGGAGTAATGGACTTGGGCTAACAAGAAAATTTAGTGGGCTTGTTGACACCCAATTTTGACCGACTTTTGACCATGTTTAGGAATACTATTTATTTAAATACGTATTTTAAATTTTAGAATTTTTAGCCGACTTTGCTTAAAAATTAAATATTTTAGTATGTTTTACTTTATAAAATTATCGTAAATATTATTAAAATATTTTAAAGTTATTAATGAATTCCAAATATTTTAAAATTTAAATGATTTTTAAATATATAAAAATATTTTAATATATGTAGTATTTTAATTAAATAGTAATTCCTACACTTTCCTTAAATTTTAAATTCTAGCCTATTCTATCATAATTTCTTTCAATTCTAGCCACTTCAATTAGAGTTTATTTCAATTATAACCCCTCTTTCATTCCAATTCTAGCCAAATTCTATTGCAATTTTAACCATTTCACATCCAACCAAATCTGATTTCTAAATGCCATTTTTTTAATCTCATTCGTCCATTTAAATGAATAAATCCTAGATCAAATCCTAACCTTTATTTCTTATTAAATCAACGGTTGCGATTAAATTCCCTTTTCTTCTTGATTTCAATACACTAAAAATCAAAGCCTAAAAATTTCTATTCTTCTCCCATACCCTCTCTTCTCCCTCCCCTCTCCTTGCAGCCGCCAGCCACCCTCTCTCTCTTCTCCATTCGCTCCGGCGAGAGCAGCCACCAGCAGCTGCCTCCCTCCCGCCGCTTTTTCCTCCTTCATTTCTCCTCCTCTTCTTCTTTCTCCCTCTCTCCTCCTCTCCCTCTTCTCCTCACCTCTCTCTGCCTCCCTCTTCTCTCTCCCTTTTCTGACAGCCGCCATCCCCCTCTTCTTCTCCCTCTCCTGTCTTTCCTCCTCCCTCTATCCGTCTTTATCCCTTTCCGTTTCCTCCCCTCATTCGTCCCTCTTCTCCCTTCCCATCTCTTCTCTTTCCCTTCTTCTTTCCCTTTCTCTTCTATTTTCTGCAGCTCCAGCGAAACCAGCAGCCTAGCGAGCAGCTGCACGCAACCAGCAGCCACCGGCGACCAGGCAGTGCCGCCTGAACCCCCTCTCCTTCCCGCTCCGATCTTCTCTCCTTCCTCTTTTCTCTCTTTGCAGGTACAACAACAGTTGCACCGACAAGTTTCAGACGAGCAACCAGCAGCTCAAACCACCATTTGCAACAACTACAAGGAGTTTAGACAAATACGAAAATGCTTTGATAAGGACAAATCGGTACAAATCTGTCCCAGGTATGATTTTTTACTTATAAGACTTAAATATTTGTGCATATGAGTTGTTGTTTGGTGTCAATGTTGGTTTTTGTTGGAACCCATCGTCATTGCATTCATTTATCGATTTGTAAATAGGTGATTCTTTATTCAATTCGATGCTGAATTTTTTAAAAATGATAGTCGCTCCTAAATCAGTTTCTTGGCTTAATTAGTATTAGAATATTTTCCTGTTTCTAAGCATAAGGGGTTGTGACCTCAATAACGAATTTTTTTTATCACCGTGCTTTAGAGTAGAGTGTTAATATTTAAGTATTTGAAATGGTCATTCTCTTGTTAATTTTGTTTTTATTTTAATATGGTAGATTGATACAATTTGTATACGATTGGTCTAATTCTTCCTTTAATTAGTTATATAGATTTGTATGGAAGTGATGGTAATATTTTATGGTGACCTTGATTGATTTCTTTATCTTAGTTAAATTTAATTAATTTGGTAAAACGCTGATTTGTTTATTTTAGTAAAATCTTTGATGTTTATAAAGTTGTGGCTCACTTATGGTAAAGTATTTTTGCTGTTGATAATGTTTTGTTTAAGGTAAATATTACAATTGATTCCTTTTCTGAAATTGACAGGTTTCTCACTTAAAAAATATTTTTTTTAAAAATAATTTCATTTTTTGGTCTTATTTATTATCTTCCTAACTTTTTTTTCTTACTTGTTTATTTTTTGGTAGTGGTATATTTTTTAAAATTTTCTGATTTCAGCCCCTCTCTATTTAAAAAAATAAATATTACTTCATATTAATTTATTCTTACTTGTTTATATTTGGTAATGAAATGTTTCAAAATTTTCTGATTTGGTCTTCTTTTATAATAAGGAAAACAGTATATTTAATTGATTCCTTTAAATATTTCTTTT